GCTGTGAACTTTGGACCGTGTGACATTTGATGTCGAGTCGATTGGTTGCAGTTGAAGTGAAGAGAAAGGGTTTGAGAGTTTGAGACATGCAGTGGAAGTCGAACAGTAGCACAGGGATTGTATCTAGCAAGGGTTGGCTAGTTTCCTTTTCACTTGCTGTTTGATGCTGTGTGAAGCTTTTGGCACGTTGAATGTGACAGGTTTTTGTCTTCAGGAATCTTCGTTTGCTTGACCTGTCAGGTGACCACTTGAGACCTTGTATGGTTTCAGGGTCCCAGTGATGACAGAAGCAGAGGCGAAGAGCTGGCTCCGTGCAGCTCTTTGAAGCCCTGCTGTCTGAGGGACCTTGAATCCTTGTTGCTTTGCTTGCTTGGTTGAAGCATGGTTGATTGGTTGATCTGGATTTGAACTTGCTTGAAGCTCGTTGTTCTTGATTCGTTGACGTTTGATCGACCTGGAGACAATTTTGAACCACAGGAGTTGAGATCTTAGTTGATGCTCGAACCTTAGTTGCTCAGAGAAAACGAATTGAAGAGAAGAAGAAGACAGGAAGACCAGGAGAAGGTACGAGGTGACCCAAGAAGGGGTGTGAAAAGTGTGGGTAGCACGCCTGTACAGTGTGTGGATCACCTAGTACCTCTTTGTAGTGGAACTTTTTCGTTTTCTGTCCTTGGGGTTGGAGCTGAGTAGGGATCTCTCTCTCTCTGGAGTGTGTTTGCTTTGACCACCTTAGCAGGACTAAGTGGAATGTGACCAGAAGTGGCTAGGAGCATGTCTAGAGAAGCCCTAAGTATAGAGCTGTAGTGCTTGAGATGAGCTGTGTATAGCCTAGCTTTGCTTGAGAGTGTTTGGAGATGCCTAGCTTTGCTTGAGAGTGTTTGGAGATGCTTTCTTGTACTTTTAGTATGTTTTGGACGACTGTGACCAGTCAGACCTCTTCAGAGAAGAGAAGGACGAACAGACATACAGTCAAACCGACTGTTATGTTTGGCTCAAGAGCGGGATTCGCAAAAGGTTTTCACACAGAGAAGCACGTGTGGATGCCAAGTGGGCAAGGTCCACCGCATTGTTCTACAGGATGATGCTAACGTACTGGGGAGGCCCACTTTGGCGACCCTGGAATCCACTGCATTTTTGGCGCTTGGTTTTGGGGCTGTCAATGGACAAGATTTTCGCACGCGTCGTGATCCGCTTGGCCGCTTCACATTGTTCCTGATCAGTCAGCTGGTCTCTGGAGGCCGGGTGTCCCTGACAGACGGCCGCGCAGGACCAGCTGGAGTGGAAACTGCAGGGAGAGAGTACGGGTCCTGCAATCACGCTTATTCATAGAATAAAACAAGTTTGCAGGACCACTATGCCGACTTGCTTTTGGATACTAGTGGTCTCCAGTCCGACCTGCTTGCGGTGGAAGCGAGGGCCCGCGGGCAATTTTTTTTGGGCAAGTGCCACAAAGAAGTGGACAATCATCGATTGGAAAGTTAACGTGTCAAAACCTGCGCCAATACACGGTGAACACAAATATCCGGCCCAATGGCCACACACGCGCATATTCCGGGCAAACAAAACTTGTTCTCCAACCGAGGTCCTCTACCCAAACCTGCAACCAAGAGCCAAACAACATCCAACAGACTTGTGCAAAGCCAACCTTTTCACGTTCACCTAAACCAACAAACGACAAGCGACCGACATCAACCGACCAACCAAAAAGAATGGTTGAGCGCGAAGTACACTTGGAATGCCTTAGCGCAAGTGTGGAGCGCCCCGTTTGAAGAAGCGCCGGGCTACAATGTTAAGGTTGCGTTTCGTGGCTTTCCGTTGGTCTTTGTGTTTTCTTGGAAGTTCCTCACTCCGATCCAATTAAAACGTTGTAAAACCCAAACGGGGTGTCGGTACCGCGCATTGTAATAGAGGGCCCGAGCGGTACCGAAGCGGTACCGAGGCGGTACCGCGCATTGTAATAGAGGACCCGAGCGGTACCGAGGCGGTACCGCGCATTGTAATGGAGGGCCCGAGCGGTACCGAGGCGGTACCGCGCATTGTAATAGAGGGCCCGAGCGGCACCGAGGCGGTACCGCGCATTGTAATGGAGGGCCCGAGCGGTACCGAGGCGGTACTGCGCATTGTAATGGAGGGCCCGAGCGGTACCGAGGGGGTACCGCGCATTGTAATAGAGGGTATCGCGCACTGTAATAGACGGAAGCCTGGCGTAGCTTGCAACAAACATCAAGGACTCGAGCTCAAAACCTCAACAATAATATCTTTTCAAAACCCCTCCTTCACAACATGCATCAAACAACGACGTCAAATAAAACGAAACAAGGTTTCCTTGCCATAGTGAACGACCAGAGATGGCTCCTGTAAACACACGCAAACATGACAGGCTCCACGGCGCCAAACCTTCGCTTAACATCTCCCCACCCTTCTTTCCTCTCATCCAAAATTAAGACAGACCACAAAATACGAAGAATGGGTTCACAACGGTTGGTCTCAGGGCGCTCGGTCGACTCACGGCGGATGTCCACCACAAGCTTGTAGCAAACAAACATGCACCAAGCGTGCAAGGCTTCAGTCAGACTGCCGAAAAAAGCAGCTGACCATTGATCCGTAAGCTTGATTGCTTTCGATCAAGAACATCATACAGGCCAAACGCTTTCTCCCCAGCAATTCTCAACCCTCACAGGTTTTCCAAACTTTTTGCTCCTTCAAGGGATCGAAAAAAGTGATTTTTCTGGACACCAGTTTGGGGTCCAAAAACCCTAGCAAAAACCGGTCCCGCCACAGAGGGCCTCCCCAGTATTCGTTCTCGGGAGTACTGCTGGAATATGTGGCACACAACCGAAAAAGAAATCCAAACAAGGTGGTGCTGAAAAACGAAGAATCTACAGCACGACACAGTGGCTCCAAATCATGGATGGTAGCAGTGATTCCTGTCCGGAGGCTTTTGCCCCGCAAGAGAAGAGATTGGCATGAACATGGATGCCAAGTGGGGTCTCTCCGAGTGCATGCGGGAACTCCTGCCCCATGCTACACCGCTACGCAACCTCAGCCTGGCGAGGTCGGCAATGCAGCCTCCGCAGACCACCTCCTGCAAATGGCAACGATGCCTCTCCAACACAAAAACCACGACTGCATTGGGTATTCCATATCCTTGTCCAGTCTCCTTTCAATTTTGACGGTGCTGATGTCCCACAACAAAGTCTGTTTTTCACTCTTTGCGCTGCTGGTGACGGGCGATGCCCCAAGGTACTGTGGCAATTTCGTTGGCAACTGGCCTCCAAACGGGGCGATCTACGCTGGCCATTGTGGGTGTCTTTGGTCCCTGCAAAACAAGATCCCTCACCTTCCTTCCAGCATGGCTAGCCATGACTGCCAATCTCAAAATAGGAGTGGTCCACAAAGAAAACCCTGCCGCCGGGCGGCCACCAATGTGGAAATCTGGATTTGAGTTCGCGGTGTGCGCTGTAACTTTGCAATCTGGATGTCATGTGTATAGAAGTTAACTTGCATATCCTCAGTGGATATGTGGAATGTGGAGCACGGGAATGTCAGACTGCTTTTTCGAGGTATCCAAAGTTTACTTCCACAAACCTTCGGGTTGATTTTATGTGGAGAGTTAGGTTCTTGATTTGAATTCACTCCAGGAATCCTCCCAGTGTAGGAGCTGGTTCAGTCGTCTAGGGACGACTGTTTGTGAGTGTGGAACGGGTTACCATAGAGAGTTGACTTGAACTCCTTTAGGAATCCTCTCAGTGAGGATGTGTGGTGATGGAAACTCGAGACCTTTGGGATCCAGTTGTGTGTTGAATTTGAACCTACCTGCCAGGCAACCGAGGACGTGATGGTCTTCTTCTCTCCCTAGTGATGACACTTAAAGGATGCACGATGAGCAACCGTCTGGTTGAGAATGAGCATCCTAGTCTGAAGGGGGAGAAGTCGATCATCTCGTCTTCTCCTGCCTCTTTGTCTGTTTTAGACGTTCGATGTCGATAGCTTCGATTGCTTCGAGGGAAGCATGTGCTTGTGAACTTTGAAGAGCTAAACGTGTAAAGGGGTTTGCTGCTCAAGCGAACTGTGGCTCAGAGACAAGAGTGTTTGAAGAATGGATACCAGCAGTCTAGGTACAGAGCTTGCTTGTGCGAGTGTAACTGACACTTGTCTCCGTGAAAAGGGTGTGCTTGATAGTGTGGGGTGCGGACGGTGCTTCCGAAAACTAATGAGACCTCCGTGGTAATTTGTGAGTTTAGCTTTGTGATTTTCCTGCTTCTTTGTAGGTTTTTCACGGTACGAAAATTTGGACCGTTTTGGGTTTAAGTTTTCCGCATGGTAGCGGAGCTGCCTAAAAGGTAGTCTCCTGAAAATTTGTGCGTGTCTCTTTGTTGACAAGCCATGAGCGCAGGTGCAGGCGCGGAAAGGTCGGAAGGCGTGCGAAGGCGTGCCAGACCTAGAAGTCCAGGCGGTGATGCATGGGGAGCGTATTTGGCCAGGCAAAGACGCACAGAACCAGGTCCCTTTGGGGAAGGAGCGCCAGATAGCCCCAGTAGACTTGAACAAGGCTTTGGTCCAGGTGAACAAGGCGCGACAGGAGCGAAAGGCGCTACAGGACCGAAAGGCGCATTTGGAGCGGCAGGACAGGCAGGCGGAGTTGAAATCCCTGTGGGGTACGGTAGAAGGCAACGACCAGGCGATGATGCAGGTTCAGGGGACACGTTCTCATCCATGACC